TTTCCATAACTGTGCAAAATTGGTTTGTAAATCCTATTGTGAGCGAGGACACAGCTTACACTACAGCAAGGCCAGTATTCATGGTTCAGTGAGTCCAGTGAAGATGTTTTAATCTAGCAGCCCTGAGGACAGCAAGTAAACTACTGGATGGAGATTAAGTGGATTCCATGTTGCTGTAGACAAAGTTATTAATCCACCCACACACACACTCACACACCCACACAGGCTTTAGCTATACAGTATTATTACAAAACTGAGCACAATCTTTTTTGTGATTTGACCCCATTTATGAAAGCGTATCTGATGTTAACCTCTAACATTAAGTTGCTGAATATGTCCAAGGTTGCCAGATATAAAAACCTACACACACACACACACACACATACATACACATACACATATTGATCTGGTCAAGGTCAGCACAGTTCATGCACATTTCACTGAGCATGGGTGAATAATTTGTGGGAATATTCACTTGTTCAAATATATTATTAAAACGTCAGATTTGAATTTCCCCTGAAGCACGTAAGTGTGTTTGTGTACTTTGGCCAGCTGTTAAGAGTTAGGAGTTAGGAGGAGGGCGTCATTATGAGAGGTTGGTTCTGACTGCAAATTTGTTAACATCCACTCATCCCCTTCCCAGCTGCTATGATTCACACTCCACATTATGATACAGTATGTGACACATTTAAACACTGATGGGTTACATGATCTTTTAGGGTAACAGAGTTTGGAAGAATTGGGGGTGTAGCTCAGTGGTAGAGCATTTGACTGCAGATCAAGAGGTTCCCAGTTCAAACTTGGGTACCTCCTACAACCGTTTCCCAGCTCCTGTGTCCAGTGTGTTTGGGGAACAAAGTGTTGATAGGTATTTGGTCATCTGGCAAGTGCTGCTGACTAAAAATCCCCTCTTAAGAGCTGTTTTTACAGAGAAGAACTGTTTGTTTTATTCATTCGATGCTTTCTCTCAGAAATTCTCAGGAACAAGCAACATTTAAGCTACAAGAGATCATGAACCTTATTCCCAGAGCCAAATTAATATTAAATAGCAACATAATCAATAATTAAGTGTCTGTCAATCTCTGTGTCTATTTGTCTATGCTAAAAAATGTCCTTTCCCAGTGGCCCGGTGGCCTAATGGATAAGGCATCAGCCTCCGGAGCTGGGGATTGTGGGTTCAAGTCCCACCTGGGTCATACTATATAGTATCCTTTAAAAGCTATGTTGTAAGTTTGTGTTTAATTACAAAGCAATGACCTTGAGAATCAGTTTCGTACACTGCGGCTAATGTCTAGGATGGAAGGATACTCCATCCTCTGGATCCCTGGTATTTTGTACCAACATCCTGGAACTGGGACATATCATACATAAACACAAATTTCAGTATTATTGTTATGCAGATGACACACAACAATACACAGATCACTTCAACACTAACTGCTGAAATGAATAACACTGAATGTGAGGATTTGAGTGACTTTGACTAGGGCCGAATTGTGATGGCTAGACGACTGGGTCAGAGCATCTCCAAAACTGCAGCTTTTATGGGGTGTTCACAGTCTGCAGTGGTCAGTACCTATCATGATGGGTTGACGTGATAAAAACAAATCTGAAATAATTATTTGTGCTCCTCCAAAGACTATCCCAATTATACAAAAACAACCTTGCTCCCTGCAGCCATAAACCTGGGTATAATATTTGACAGTAACCTTTCATTTGAAAAACCAGGTACAAAAGTTGTTCAGTCATGTTTTTATCAACTGAGGAACATCTAAAAAATCAGGTGTTTTTTCCCTCTGCCTGATGTCAAGAAGGTCATACGTGCTTTTATTTAATCTCAGTTAGATAGATTGTTAGATGTAACTTATTGTGTTTAGGGATAACCTACAAAACTCTCATGCCTTAAGCTCGGACAAAATACATCTGCTCTGCTTTTAGAATTTATTTTAAGATTTTACTGATTACCTTTACTGAAAACTTTCTGTGCTTTAGCTCCCAGTTAAATTGCTGAATCACTGCTACTCTATACCCTGCAGTCAGAACCTCTCAGGTCTGGAAGCTTCCTGCCTGAGGATCTGAGGCCTGCAGATGTATTCTCTTAAATCACTTCACAGAATGCAAACGTTTTATTAATGCTAGCACACAACATGTATTATCTATTTTATTAATATCATGTTTTTTTTATTACATTTTTTTATTATTTTCGAATTTCAATATTATTTGCTTTTATTTCCTATTCATAATCAAGCCTCAACCAGTAAGTCACCTCATGTCCATACTTTTCCCAAACATCTGAATGACCAGAGAAACAGATGTTGATGGTCGTCAGGGTCTCTGGCCTAGAAACGTTGGCCACAGCTTGTTTTTTCCACTCGTCAACAATTTTGCCAGGTCAAAATGGAAGAGAAGTTGATTCCAGCCATTGAAAGCTTCCAATTTATCCTCAACTTTGTTAGCCCAGAGTAATAAACATCTCAAAAACAATGCACAGAGATTGGGTTTGTCCTTTGCTGGCATCTATTGTATGCTCTGATGTCACTTTTCCTTCATTTTGATTATCTCTACATGATTTGTGCCTATAACTTGTGTTACCAAAACAATGAAATCTTGTTAAATCCAATGCAAAAAACCCTGCAGCTTAGGATTTTTGTTGATCTTGGTTTTATACTTGTTTAACTCAAGCATAAAACACACAGAATCTTTGGAAATATGGCTCTGAAAGTTTTTATGAGGATAACATTTTTTCAGTGTTGTATGCTCGTTCATACCTAATGTAAATATTGTGGTCAGTGTCTAATAAGTTTTGAGTTTAGACTAGGCATAAATTATACTGTTCTGTATGGCAGGAATGATATCTGCTCCATCTGTCCTCCTAACTGTTTTCATAGGAAAAGCAAAACATAAGAGCTGCAAGATGGCCGATATCCATAATTTAATCAACATCCCACGCCAAGTCTGCCTGCCTTTTCCTTCTGCTCTATCCTCTGCACAATTTTGGTAATCACTCTTTTACTTTGGACCACACTCATTTATACGCTTCTACTTTCCTGATACTGTAAATATACAGATTGATTGTTTATCTACAGTATATGTGGATGGATTGTTGAATTGTTTGTCCACATGATTGATTAGGTGACTGACGAGTAAGAGGCTAAGGGAGCTGCAGGCCACCTCCTTAACTTAATCATACATACACCTTCTGTCTGGCACTCTCCTCCGCACTGTTGTCGATCAGTGACCTGAAAAAACTCTACTCCTCCAAGGCAGTGGGAAACAGCTCATTATGCAGGAAAACAAACCAAGACACTGCAACGTTTCCTTTAACCTCCCAGGGAAATAACGTTCATGATCTTGACACATTTTAAGAAAAACATAAAATTTTGTGGGTAAACAGACACCAGAACCTTGATTTTAAGACCTCTAGGGATATGTGTGTGATGTTGTCTGCTGAAAATCTGAAATTTTGATTATTTATTTATTTTTATACATACTACAACTTTAGCTGGCCCAGTTTGGTAGACTTTGCATCTCATAAAGAGAGCACCAAGAACTGACACTCACAGTCATACATGAAAACCATATATAACAGATTTCTTCTTCGTTTTAGTGGATTTGGACTACATTTACAGACTCAACATGTCCCAAGTCCTATAGCATTTTTGATTTGAATGTTTTTTTATAGCTAAGTTGTTATAGCTGGTGGCTCAGTGGCCAAATGGATATTACATCAAGAGGGAGTTGGGGATTGTGGGTTTAAGTCCCAGCTGTACCATCTCCATGTTATGTGAATTAAATTTATCACAGGGTACGTGTTAATTAATAACTGGGAATACCCCTAGGGATCAAGTTGTATCTTATTTGTCCATAAACTCATAATTTGTGTTGAATGGCGCCCCTTAATAGCAGGCAAAGAAAAGAGCTTGAAATGTACTTAGAAATTGAGTAATGATAGCACTGGGCAAATAACATTGAACAAATCCTTAAAATGTTTAAGAAAAATATCTTATATTTTAGAATGTAAATGTCAAAATCAGTCAAAATGTCCCATAGAAAATGGTGAAGGTCATTTCTAATCATTGAACATTACTGTATAGTCAACTGCCATGATTGATGGTTTCTGTGGCCCCCAGAGGCCAGTTTTAGCACTGTTGTTATGCCTCATAGAGCAGAACTGTCATTATGGTTTACAGCCTAATAAAATACCAATTACACTGAAAATGGGGACTTCCAAATATTGAAACATCCCCTGAGGATTAGAGCTCATTTTAAAAGTGAAAAAGATGAGTGGGAGAAGGGGGTTCGGGGGGAGTTATGAGACAGAGAGAGGATGATAGATAGATAGATAGGAGAAGCGCTGTCTGTTCCAGTTTTGTTTACCAATCACAATGACTCATGAGCATCCAGCCCCAGGGTGGGGTGCCAGGCTCTGGCACATGCTCACAATCCCTCTGAGAATATTGTTGTTGTTGATAATAAAATCGGCTGAAAAGAAAAATTGCCTCTCTCTGGACACAGTGATTCATAGACCCAGAAAATAGCCCCTTACATTCTCAAAAGCAGCTTGTGAATGAGAACATTAAAATTACACCTGCAAAGTATCTCATGAAATCAGATGCCAAATGGTGAAGTATTGACTCGGCTGCAGTAGCATGTATGGCCACAAGAGGGAGGTGTCACAGGTCCGATACTTTGGTTTCTGACCAAACACCTGCAAAGCTAATGACATTCTCATCAGCAATTTTTAGGCAACAAAACTACTTGGTTAGGTTTAGGAAAAGATTATGATTTGGGTAAAAATAAATACATTACATGGTGCGAATTACGTGACATGCAAGTCGGTTGGAGTATGAAAACCTGTTGCACAAGGTACCCTTTAGAAGACACCAAAGGGCTGTGATAAAATGTCAGTAATCTACGTCCTAGGAATGACAACAGGTTAGCCTGAAATAGCTGCTATATGGCTGTAGACATGTATTGGTGTGTGTTATATTCACTTGCAGTCAAACATGCAAACACAGTATATTGCAGACTTGATTACGAAACAGAAGGATACTTTATTATGGGAAAATTCTTAAAGTTCAATGTCTTTAAAATGTAGAAGATTTGCTCTGTAAAAGAGTGAATAATCAAACCAGGGATTACATGAGCTTTTACAAAGTAAGTCAAATTTCTTTCATTGTGCATTATCATCATTTATATCATTACATTTCAATCACTTCTGAAAATTGATCTTTTCTTATTCACTTCTAAAAAAATTTATTTGAGTCCTCGATTACCATTCCATCATTATTTTGGCATGTTTCTTTTTACTGCATAAACACTTTATAATATCAATTCTGTAAGGTGCCACATAAATAAGGTTGATTATTATTAGCTTTATTACTTTATGACTTTGGAATAAAGCCTTTTATGCTTTACCATCTTGCTTTCTAGCTGAGAAGCAATCTCAAGTCATCTGCAAGCGCTTTTAATCCTCATGTGGATAATGATTTCATGGGCACCCAGCTTCAGGTTATGGGGGTATTGATGTAAAGATGATGAAGATTCCCAACATCTCAGGGGCTGCTGATGACCTGCTTGATCCAGTCAGTGAGCCTGGTGATGCGAGTGTAGACGCCATAGTAGTCTGGACGACCGCAGCCTTTGCCCCAGCTCACCACCCCGGCCAGGAACCAGCGACCCGACGGCTCCTGGCAAACTAGGGGACCACCAGAGTCTCCCTGAAAGAGACAATGTTAAATTGACAGGGGGTAATATTTTAATGTCTCTACAGCACAAAATGACCACATGATAACTGACAAGAGGGATGATCAATACTGGTGACTCAACTATGATATCACTCTGTTCTTTGATATCTGGCTTTTAAAACTCATTTTATGGCCTATACACTATTTATAGGGAGTACAAAATCGACACCTTTCGCGATGCATCCAACATACTGTATATGTATTTACACTGAGATGCAATAACTAGCAGATATGAGAATTTTATTTTTTCATTAAGTATGTTTCCACTTCCAAAAGAGAGACTACATATATCATGACTGGATGATTCTACCCAAACCATACAGTACATACCAAAATTTTAACCAAATGTATTATATAAACTATAAGATATTACAGGAATCCTACTGGATATTAGATAACTATGTGTAATGCCCAATGCAAAGCCTCTCAACATGTTTGCTGTATGTATGTGTTTAAACCTGCATGAATTGATTGGGTTTTTTTTAGCCACTTGGGGGCAGCGCAACTCCAGCTCTAAACGCAACATTGACACCTTAAAAAATCCAAGTCAAAGCTTGTATAAGTCCAATATTCACGGTCCTTTTGCCTCTTCCTTGAGAAATATCTGGCTCTTTAGCTGCTAATTGCTCCACTATGTTCACAAGCTAGTCTCTAACTTTGTTTGGCCGCTGTTTAATGCTGGTCAGGTAGCATACAGTGGGTTTTGTTAGAGCTTTTTCACTGAAAACTGGTGACTGTTGCAGTTAAAAACAACCAAAAAGGTATCCAGGCTGTAATACCAAAACAATGAGTTTAAAGTTGCTTCAAGTTGAGAGGAACTGTAAGGTCAGATGATAATTCTCCTTGGGTTTTAGTCACTGTGAGTGTCATCTTTTATTTCATGCAGTAATTTAATCTATTGTTGATGTAAATGTATTGATTATATAGAGCATCTTTAACTTAAAACTGGGTTGTGAAATGAAATGAAAAGTATAGCTACTGGTTTTGTATGTATATGTTTTTCTGTACCTGACAGGCATCTTTGTCTCCACTGCGGTAACCAGCACAAAGCATTCTGGGAGTGACCAGGTGGCCGTAGGAACGAACACAAGCTTCCTCGCTTACCAGACGAACATCTACCTTCTGAAGCACATTACTGGCACTACCTAAAGAGGTCAAAGGGAAAAGATCATCAAGTGAAGGCCAAAAGATGTATCCTCTTTTCATCTTTTTCTATCTATACACCAGAGACAATGCATAAATTATATTTTCAAAATAGTCTGCATTCACCTCCCGTTCCTAATGTTGCTTTCACATTTTGCTATATTGGAAAAAAATAATTTCATCTTCACTGCTCAGGTTTGATTCCCCTACTCGATGTAAATTCTAGAGCTACCGATCATCAAACCACACAAACCCACAGTAAAATATGTGACATACTGCAGTCATATCGATTCCTCAGCTTCAGCAGAAATCATTAAATGTACTGAGGTTTAACACACTACAATAATCAGCCTGAAAATGCACTAGGTGACTGGGGTTGCGCTTTTTATGTGCACACAGTTCGCCAGCAGTAAAACGAAACTGTAGTACATTTTTCATCTTTACGGTGAAAAGAAACCACTTCACTGGAAATATAGTGGTGTACCCGCACTTTAATACACAATTTAACCTAAACTTTTTCTCACAAAAGTTAGAAAGCAATTTACATCCTGTGACAAGTTTTATGAAACTGTGTACCGGAAGATGGTTTCAAACACTTTATCTCAAACCGTTTTTAAATCAGAAACCACAACCCTCAATCTTCCACCCACATCACTTCATATACTACTGCCTCTTTAATATAAAATAATTCATTTCAGGGGTTTTCCAATCTCTTATCATAAGAGCATACCCATCCACATTGCTCCATATCACCGTCCCCACAAAGACTTCCCACATCAAGGGCCATTATTTCAAGGGTCACTGACAAAATGGGTTTTTTAAAGGCTGCACAAGTCATATAAAATCACTTCCTGTGAAAATACTGCATTATTCTGCATGATACAAAAACCAATGGAAAAAGTTTACAGCTCATCCTGTAATCCTGAAAAAAAACAACTTTATAACCAAACAAAATAACAGTCTTAATGAAATAAACCTACAAGTCAATAGCACCAAATAAAAGTCTATCTTAAAAGAGTTCATGTTTATTAAACTGCATAGTTTAATTTAAAAGTATCTCTTTACGAGGTATGACGATGTGTCCTTCTAGGTTACACATACCACAACATTACAAGTTCTTGCAAGTAGTTTTCTTATTTGTTGAACTGTGACTGTCTTATTGTGCTCTTACTTTATGTCTGCAATTAAAAACTTGGGATCTGCAGGCTGTTCAAGGGGTTGGAAGATAAATCTGAGGAGCTGTACAAATTTATATAGTTTCTTTGTTTATTTAATTTTTTTTGTCATTTCTTTTTTCTTATGAACTTTTTTCCTCTTCTTGACTCTGTCATATAACAAGTACAAATTTATATTCTAAACTAAGGATTGCAAGGTCCTTGGAATTATATTAGTCATATTATTATCATCATCATTGTTATTCATCATTCCCCATCACTGTGGCTGTCATTGTCGTCATCATCGTCATCATCGTCGTCATCATCATGATCATCATTATAAGTCATTTCTATTATTATAGTCGTTGCTATTGTTGTTGCTGTGCATCTTTCTCGCTGTCTGTGCCCTTCTCACAATTTGCAAACACGTAACCTGTAATGACAGGTAGCAGACACTGCTGCATTTTAAAAGGTCACAAGCCCAAAAAAATGGGAACCATTGCTATAAGCCACTTTGAAAGTTAAAGGTACTCTGGTTTTAATAATATATCCCACTCTCTACCACCTACACTACTTCCACAACCAACATTTCACTCCCTATCCTTTCTCCACATCCCCCAAAGCACCACTTCCGTCCTCACCTCCCTCGCGGAGAGCCCCCCACCCGGTGACCCAGCAGAGCAGGTCTGGCTCCAGCTGGTGGGTGGGCGGAGGCAGGCATGCGGGTCGAGCATGTCCAGCCAGCAGCATGGAGGCAGGCCGGTCCAGCTTCAACAGGGCCAGGTCATAGTCGTGGGTATCGTCGTCATAGTATTGATGGAGGTGGATCCGCTGAACTCGCGCCACTTCTTCAGTTGGGCTGCTGCGGTTCAGCAGGAGTTTACCCAGGTAGACCGTCCACATCGAGGGGGAGTAAAGACTGCAGCCGGAGAAAAAGAGTTGCTATGTGTTACAGGTGCAATAAGTATGACTTTGTATTATTTCTGTAACACAACTTAAAATAACTTGTTGACTGTTACCAACATATTTACTTTCTATTTTAGAACAAAATGGTCCCTGTCCACTGAAATTTCAACACTCACTAAATGCTGCACAAGCTTTTAATCACCATACAAGGAGCATTAAGAGAGAAGAATTGCTAATCCTCTACAGGATGTTGCAGCTATAGTTTTGGCCATGAGCCAACCAGCTGATTCTGGCATTGGAAGACGTGTGTATATAAATACATAAATACATTGGCTTTGAGTCAAACTCTCTAGGCTGCCAAGAGACAACAGCAGGACTGCACATAAAAGATGTTTGGTAGAAACAGAAAGGTAAACAAGACTTTTTAAGGAGGACTAAAATGCTAAAAGTGGTTCATCAAATTCAACAAATAAACAAAAAGTCCCTAAAATTGTTTTTGCTTTGAAAGCACATTCTAACACCTCAATCACCACTTCCTCCCCTCTCTTCCTGCACTTACCGATCGTCATAGAAACAGTGGGCAGCGGACACCACCCACTGGCTGGAGATTAGTGCGCCCCCGCAGATGTGGGTGCCACGCACCTGAAGGCTGGCCTGCCATGGCCACTCCCCCACTGTGGCGTTGGTCCCCCCGACAATACGGCTGGAGAACTGCCTCAGGCCACAGTCTGAATACACACAGAGAAAGATTAAAACACATAGTTGCAAATATGGACAGAAAGTATAGACGAGTATAGACTAATGAAATCAGATTTTAATGATTTGTTTCATTTCAGTTTAATTTAAAAGCAAAAGGTTGGCATTAAGCTTAAGAAGAAACCTGTCCAAGAGCACGAAGACATGACAAAATGTAAAAGTATGGAGTCAAAAAACAGCCCAAACTGAATTAAAGTGAAAACTAGGCGTGTTTATCTTCTCACCACACTGTTTTTCATCTGAGGCATCGGGGCAGTCAGTGACAAAGTCACACTCTGGATTTGGCTTCTTCAGACAAGTGCCATCAGCACACACGTAGGTCATATCTGTACACTGCACACCTGGATATTCAGAATAAATAGACTGGTTTGTTTTGACACAAATAAACACATATAAAGGGTAAAGATTAAACTTAAGATATTAGATTTTGCAGTGTGTGACAGCAGAATGTGTGTGTATGTGTGT